ATCTTTATAAAAAAATTATATTATTAAATCAAATATAAATTACTTCGTTATTAAACCTAAATTAAATTATAATATAAAAATTGAATTAAAATATTACACAAAAAATAGGAATTTTAAATAATTAATTTCATACTAATATCGATATATATATATATTTTTGTCAAATTTTTATGATATCTTCAAATTTATATTTTATTCAAAAATAAAAATATCATCGTTTTTTTCAAAATCACATAAGACCATACCTATAACATTGTTTGAGATAAAAAATAAAATGAAATATTAAAATCAAAGATATATCTCGCTGTATTGTGCGAGTACCCTTCTAGTTTAATATAAATGGTTCCTCTTTTCTTTTTAGTTTTATAACTTTATATGAATTTAAATTGTTGTCTGAGATTATTCAAAACAATAACCCACACAAATATGTATGCATATATCGTGTTGGAAAACATTAGCATCACACTTTACGTAATTTAGAACCTTGAAAAATACCAAACGAATTACAAAATTCATGGAAAAATAAGAAAAAATTATGTTCACATAATTGTTTGGCTAATAAAAATAATTTAATGATATTTTTATCGTTAATAAAAGAAATCAACCGCCGAACTACAGCCTCAATTTGTAAAAGATACAATAGCCAATGGTACCAAACTTCCATTTTTGGGAGCCATCTCAGGCCTCATATTCGTTGTCCTTCCCGATGATGAAGGCTCGTCGATCCTAACCACTTCATTCGTTTTGGGTGAACCATATGCATGGCTATGTCAAACATACAAACAATTTCTAACCTCTCTGCCTTTATTTCTTTATTGAGTAAACTCTCCTTGTGGTTTGTGAAACCATTTTCATCTCTGTGATTTGTTATCATTTTTTGATAAACCAAAAAAGAAAAATAATAAATTACAATATATTTAATAAAATAAAAAAAAAACTAAATACCCCTATGTTTACTCTCACGGATGAAAATAGTCATAACAATGAAAATTGAAATTTTAAAACCGATGGGACGGAAATCACAATCTTTTTCAAACATCAAGAGTGAGATTTTTTTTGGTTTTGTTTTAAATGATTAATCCCTGGACATTATTTTTTGAACAAATAGAAATTTTAAAAATTTGGTTAATGTAGAAAAAAAGAAAATTAACTCAGTTTCATCGTTCATAACCCAACGTCATCCAAGCCTCTTGCATCCAATGACATGACTCCCCCCTTCTTCACCTATCGTCCGTTCTCTATACCAACCATTGCCCTTGTTGCCTCTCTCATTGATCTTGTTTTTTCTTAATTTATTTTTTGATTCTCCCTCAGTTACAATATAATTTTAATGGAGTATGTATAAGCCAAATCAAAAGAGAAGGGTGATTAGAAAAAAGATAAAAAGAAAGATCGATAACAAGGACATAAGGACGATGATGGAACCTGAACACCGTTGGATACAAGGGATATTTATGATATGAGATTAAATATAGTAAAATTGATTTAAGTTTTTTACGTTCTTTAAAACGTACTAACCGGTTATTAGTAGTTTTTTTATGATTAAAAACATGTACTTAACCAATTTCTGACATATCAATCGTTTATTTACTAAAAAATGTTTAAAGACAACTCATTTAAAATGAGTAAATTTAGTTGTTTATTGATTAATTAAAATGAGAAGTCATTTTATTTGAGATTTGTTACGTTGTCGATATTGTTATTGCATCATAACAAATAACATATTAACCATTTGCAATTTTTATTGCTATTATCGATAAATTTCCTCTTCAAAAGAGATCACACAACCATTAATTCCTTAATACAAAAATAAAATAATTCCACCATAACATTTGATATGAATATTTAAGATCGTTATAAGAAAATTCATTACAAATTGAAAATCAGTCTTTGTGCACTGCCAAGGGAAAAAACTCAGGCAGAGATTCACAAATTACAAGAAAATACAAGAACAAGAACGAGAACCCTAATCCAACACCTTTTTTTTATAATTTAGAAAAAGGATAAAAGATGAAGAGGAAAAAAGCATCAAATAAAGCTTTTTATTCCCTTCTTTTTATGTAACTACAGTGGCATGCATAAAGCAACATAGCCTATGTAATAAGACACAGCTAGATCAAATCACCTGAGACGGAGAAGTCGTCGGAGACTATCAGTTGCTCCGGCATCGATGCTAGGTGCTTCTATGGCCGCCTCGGCTTTGCAACTGAGCTTTGGCCTGAGTGAAAAAGTAGGCAAAGGCAAGCTGCTCGGCGGTGGAGAAGGAGTAAACACAACAGAACCTGAAAACTTGTCAACAGAAACAATATCACAGGAATCGTTAGGCGCTGAAGAAAAAGCCCTAGAAATAACAGCCTTCGGAAGATCCTTCGGATCCGGTCCCATCAGCTGGTTAACCGATGCTTCCGTTGAACATTTTTTCGCTTCCTTCTTCCCCGTTGTCGGAGGAGGAAGTAGATCCCCTTCCTCTTTCTTCGAATCCTTCTTTTGATTTTTCGATTTTTTGGGCGTGAGAGAATGGTCTCGCACTCGATTCTTCACACTTTTGTTGATTCGAGGAGACGATAACCGAATATTATTGTGAGAAGTGCTGTTAGTACGAGAGATGTTCATATTCTGATGATTTAGCGGCATTGGAATCGGAAGAGGAAGAAGAGGTGGCTGTTGACGGTTGTGCTGGAGATTCTGCTGTGCACGGAAAACCGAAACGCCAGGGGGATACGAATGAGAGAGATGCGCCGGAGGCATGGACAATAAACCGCCTCCGCCACAGTGACCGCCGGCCAAAAAAGTCGCCAAAAACAAATTATCAGATGGATGAGAAAACAAAGCACGGTTAGCACCGAAATTCCTCTTGGAATTTCCGATCCGGGGGTTATAATCACCGGTTGAGTTCATCATAACTGCTTCCGTTACCAAAACTCGATTAATCAAATAAAAGTTCACAGATTACGAGAAATCAGAAAATTACGAGAAGAAGTCGCGATTGATCTCTAATAAACACGGATCAAAATCTCAGAAATTGGTAGAAATTTTTACAGAAAACTAATATACCCGAATCTTACTAAAAGCATATACGTATATATAAATAATATAATAGGAATTAAGGAAACAAAAACTAACTAATACTGATTAGATGAATCCCCGTTAAATCATGAAGAAATTGGGGATCTGGAGAGGGAAGAACACCCAAGATGAAGATGGGGTTTTTTGTCAGTTTTTATAAAAAGACGGTTCGCTTCGGTGGATGATTCACTCCAATGCCAGCCCAAGGGATCTTTAAATAGACCACCAAGTCTCCAACGGCTACTTCTATTTTTATTATTTAATTGTTTATTAGTAAGAAAAAACAAAATAACTTTCGCATGTAACGTAATTGTCCCCTTTCAATTTCTATGATTAAACATAAAACTAAAATATATTCACCTCTCAAAATAAAAATTACAGTAAACTATAGTTTAGTCACTATTAGGTAACGTTTACCAAACGCTTACCCGGGTAGGCGCTTACCAAATCATTTTATTTTACTGGATAAATATGACAAGGACTAAAAATCTTACCCGGTAAGAGCGAAGACAATAATCGAGAGTTTTACACGGTAAATGAAGGCGAAGACTCTTACCATAGTTAACACTTACTGGGATAAATTGTTGCATACGATGCGTTTTAATGAATAATATCTTACCCAGTAAATAAGCGATAGTGTTGAATTTTACCAGTAAGTGCTTACCGGGTAAGTGTTTAGGTAAACGGTCCCTTAGTTCCAAAAACTAACATTTTTTTGTGTTTGCATTTTTTAAATAATAAGATGGTTGTTGTTTGTAAAAACGTCTGGATTTGATCATTTTCTGTTAAAAAATTATGTTAAATAAGAAATATTTTCGTCCGTTTTTCGATTTCTTTGTCTTTTATTAAATCAAAATTGATTTTTTGTGATTTTGGTTAATGCGGTTTTTTAATGGGTAAAAGAAAAACAAATCGATAAAAGGATGAAAATGTCCTGTTTTAACGAAATTTTTACGATCGTTAGAGGTAGGAATCAAATATGGAAACACGATAGCCATGTTGTAGTTTCAAAATTATAGGGATGAAAAGTGTTACTTTTAACAAACAATAGGGACCAAATTTATAATTTACTATAAAAGCTAATATGAAATTTGTATTTACGTAGATATTAAACTACACTAATATTTATTCTCAAAATGTTACCGGACATAATGACTTTTTCTAAACCTATAACATAAATAGTTATAGAATATACTGATTATTAGTAATGATGTATTTTAAATGTTTAACCAACAATTTAATATATTTGATTTTTTTATATGAAGAAACTTTTAAACTCGTCTGTGAAACGTAAAAACTATATGAATGATCACTAAAGTTTCTAATCAGGTTTGAAAATGATCTTTCGTACAACTCTATTTTATTAATATATTTAAGCTAGAGGTATTTTGGTCTTTTTTTTATCTATTTTTTTCTTCCATTTTTATTAAATAATTTAAGATGTATAAAATGTTTTAAGCATGTGTAAAATCCATTAATGTGCCCACCACTTCCTTGTTGCTTTTCCCTAAACCCTAAACCCATAGTGATCTTTAGCTGGCAGCCCCCACTCATCTACCCGATATATCAGAATCGCTCTCTACGATAAAATATCAGAATATAGCATTAGAGCTTGGTAAAATGGTGGGTTAAGAACAAAGATGGAGCTTTGGAAATGGTGGACTAATAACAAACACGGGGACTGGAAAAATGGTGGAATGAAAAGAATAAAACGGAGTTTGGGAAAATGGTTGATGAGGATGCGTTTGGTATGCAGACTATATGGGACAGGACGGACAAAAAATAATAATTTCATGTTTGGCATGTCATGGACAAAAAAACATGGGACAAGGTGGAACTATTTTTAATTTTAGTGAGACAAATCTTGATATTTCTTGTTCCACCAAAAAAGGTGGAACAACATGGGACTAAAGTTAATATGACAATATTTTGATTAATTTTTTGTCATTTTACAATCATTATATGATATAAAATAACATTGAACAATATTTAGGGGTAATATGGTCATTTTAATAGTTTTGTCCTGTCATGTCCTAGTCGTACCAAACAAAGGACAGACAATTAGTCTTGTCCCGTCCCGTCCTGTTCTGTCCCGTACTATCCCGTCCTGTCTCATCTAGTTTGCGTACCAAACACTACCTGAAGAACGAAAGCAGAGTATTGAAGTTTGGGTTTAAGTAAAAGAAGACACAATGACTAAAATATACCCTTTCAATTTTGAAATAAATACAAAGTGATTACCGATTACTTAACAAGGAAAGTGGTCCACATAAGAGACGACAAAATTGGCAAAAAGATATTTTCATTCTAAAATAAAATACTTGGTTTCTAGTTCTTTGAATGTTATTATCATTAATTTTATGTCATGACATTTATTATAAAAAAAATGTTGATCTGATTTAAATCAATATGATTATGAACTTGTATATCACAAATTTCCTAAACCTAAAACAAAAATTCAAACTAAAAACGAGTTAAAAGATGGTCCTTGCATGATCTAACCTCCAAAAAGCATGAAGATTATAATCTGTTTTGATATATATTTTTTTTCACAAACGTAATTTTTGATTTGAAATATTATTTAGCAAAAAACATTTCTTTGATTAAATATCAAAAATATTTTCTTAATAAAAAGTTAAGAATTTACCAAGAAATTTATATACATAGTTTTTATTATAAAAAATAACTATTTACATTGTTTTCGTAAAATTTAAATATTTTAGAAAACTCTTGAAGAAATGAAATAAAGGTAAAAAAAAAAAGAAGATCATATATATAGAAGGTTTCAATTATAAAACAAACTATAAACCTAATTTCAACTCTTCATTTTAAAATTTGAGATAGTTATCAAATCAATTAAGCATGTGGTGAGTAAATTTAGAAACTGATTTAAATCACATTATTAGTTATCTGGTTAAGATTACTTTTGTAGAATTTGTAACAATTACATTATTTATATTTAAAGTTTTCTCTCTCTATATATGTCGATTAAATATGTTTAGCTAGACTTGACTTGTTCCTTGAGGGTGTGTTTGGTACATTGGACAAAATAGAACTGAACAGAGATCTTTGTTTCACGTCTAACAAGACTTTTATGTAGAATAAACAGAAACAGAGTGGAACAAAGTGAAACAAGCCTGTTCCATCCCTACTCCATGGAACAAGGTGAAACAACTTATATTTTACCAATATAATGTTAAAATAAAATTTAGTTCTTTTTTAAAATATCAAATAGATCTACTTTTTGCATTATTCATTTCTTTAAATTTTATTTATTGCATTTTATGTTTTTTAAAATTTTATTTTACTATTCTCAAAATATTGTTTTTACAGTTTCTATATTTTTTTATTAATTTATGTAATTTATTATATTAATAATAAAAAAAATAATGTACAAAATTGATAAATTAAAAATTGAAAACTATATAAACCTTTTATTCTTGTGTCATTTTTATTGTTTTGACTAAACTTTTAATGATGTATTTGTTACAAAAAATAATTATTCTGTTATAGTAAAAAATTATATGAACTAATCAAAATATATAAACACATCATTAGGGATAAATTGATCATTTTACTTGTTTTGTTCTGTCCAGTTCTGTTTTAGCCAAATGCTGAACAATTGATATGTCCTGTCATTCTATCATATCCTATCTATGCACCAACGCGCCTTAAGAGTTAAGAGACCGACAATATGAAATAATAATATACATTTTATTGTATAAATTGGTCATGATTGTGACCAATGAGGGGTCGATTTCTACAAAGTCTAGTTTTTGTAAGTTTCGGTCTTTCTTATTAATCTTGTCGATACCGTCATTTTTGACCTATAAATTTAGGGAAGAGCTTCAAAACCTAGGTTTTATTTGAGCTTTGTAGAAATTGTATATTTGTTTACAACCAAACTATAATAATAGATTTTTGAATGCCCCTTTTTGTCAAAAGTGATCCTTAGTAAACCCCATATGTTGTATTTGAACCCCTATCGTCTCAGACATATCAGCCTATTTCGATTAGGTATGACAACGGAACGAGGATGGGGCAGGTTTTACAATCCCAGGCCCCGGCAGGTACGGAGATTAGCATCTCAACCCTGGTCTCTTTTCTAGTCAACCTCGGTCAAACCCCCGTTCCTCGTTCCAGACCCAGTCTTCGATCCTGTTGTTCTGGTGAAAGTGAAGATTGAACGTGATTACATGAAGAAGTTGTTGACTTGTCGTGGTCTCGTGGAGTGTAGAGAGTCTCAATTCTCAAATCTTGTTAAACTAAAAACCTAATTTTGGAAAATAAATAATCTATATATTAATAAAATAAACTACTAAATTATATACCGGATACGGGCGAGGCGGGGGATATGCTACCGGCCCCAACCCCCAACCCTGGTTTGAGCCTACTGGGGATCTTCGGCCCCGACATCAGGACCCGATTTAGCGGGAAATCCCCATACTCGTTCGGATTGGGTGAACCAGATTCCCCACCTTGTTCTCAACTGAATTAGTAGATAGACTTCATCCTAGGTTTCACTTTTTAGATGTTTATAAATCCAAATTGACATAAAAAAGGGTCCAAATAGCAACATCTTTTCTCCAATCAGGTATCTATTTAAAGAAAAATAAGTGTCTACTTTTTAATTCTAATCTTAATAATGAGATGAATAAATTATTCAGGTAAAATTGTCATCTAATTAGTAATTTAAAAGTGTAATAATTATACAATTATTGTATGCAATTTTCATTATAAACATTTATTTTGTGATGAAGAGATTATTAATAACATACATATTAACGAATTGCGTTGAACAAATTACAAACCTTCAAAGACATATCAACATCATGGAAATGTAAAAGAAGAGGCTTTGATTTTGGCATATATAAAGAGGAATCCATATATATATATATATATATATATATATATGGAGGTTCATTTAACAAGTTAGACAAGGCTTTTTTAGTCCGACAAATTACCGACAAGTCTTTGATTTAGCATGAGAGTAAATAATAGTTTTTTCCCTTTGGCTCATGGTCTTTTCGTTATCGTCCCTACAGTTCATTTATTACAAAAACATTGAAGTAACGTTTTTTAATTGGTTTTCTTTTATGTAGGGTTTAGGGTAACTCTGTCAATTATACACCCTTAAATGCAACTATGTGTCATTCATGTAAGGAC